ATTTTGTACATAGGCATATAAAAAAAGATAAAAGTGAGCAGACCACATGCTAGCACCTGGACAGACCTGGAGAACCCAATTCACAGGGAAGCTCCCTCAGAAAGCCCCACCATGCACAAACACAGCTGACTTTAGCCTTGGTAGGGCATACAGAGAAGAACTTCCTGCTGGAAATATCCTGCCTGTCTCCCAGAACAAGAAGGGAAATGGGTTCATCATGTGCTTAGGTGATATGTAAACTGGAAGTGCTGGGAGAGGAGAGGAATAGAACCAAGAGGTCACCTGCAGCTTCCATTTTGGTGGTCAAATTTAGCTCACAATACATACACATTCATCCACACGTAGTCTATGTTTGGGATGGCTGGTGTGTTTTGCTGATGACTCATCGAAAGCTGCCACTTTGGGTTTGCAATCCTTTCCTTGGTTTGGCTGTGAATATTTATTTTCTTCCTTTTTACTACTGCTTTCACTTTAGCTTTTAAAAAGCACAGATGGGGATTGAAAGACTGCAAGAACATATCCCATGCTATTCATCATTGGCTTAACTTCTGCCAACAGTTACTAAAACACAGACGAAAACAGACTCCGGCAACACACTCCATGTGGGTCTTTAGCAGATGAACTGCAGAAAACACTTGACTGCAGAGACAGTCTAATCTCCCATCCTCCCTTCCGTGCATCAAACCATTTCCCTACATAGCAGTCTTTGGAAGGGGGTGGGGAAATTGTGGCCCTCCAGATGCTGTGGACTACAGCTCCCATCAGCCCCAGCTAGCATGGCCAACAGTCAGGGGGCTGAGAGTCCAGCAACACCTGGAGAACCTCAAGGCTCCCCGTTCCAGAGTTTTGCTCTTTCACCTTGAACTTGCATCTCTTTTCAGACACTGGCATGGCTCAAAACCCATTCAGAGGGATGCTGCTGGGTGCCAAGATTGTGTCTGTTGCTATAGCAGGGGTGGGGAATTTGTGCCCCTAAGAAGTTGCTGGACTCCAAGGAATTCAACATCACACTAGGTTGAACATTTGAGGATGCCAGCTTAGCAGGCAGAAACATCCCCCCTCTCCTTTCCCTGTGCATCATGGGGGGGGCAGGGTTCTCCCAACCCCCTCAAGTGCAGGAAGGAGAAGCAGGAGAGGTAAGCCTTATTGCGCAAAAGGAAGCCCCTACCTGCCTGCTCAGTGTCTCGCCAGAGTGGTACATGCCCTGGTGATCTCCCACTTGGACTACTGCAATGCGCTCTATGAGGGGCTAACTTTAAGGGTGACTCAGAAATGCTCAGCTGCACCTAGAGAGTCTTTGAGAAAAGCTTAGAGATACGTATTAAAACGGGAAGCCAGTGAACCCAACTTTTAAATTTTGGACATTAAATGCACATTTAAATAAGCAACTTTTGAGTATACCTAAAAGTCTAGCTTATGATAGGAAGATGGTCATCTAAAACACCTCTCTGTTTTGCTCCAAATTGCACTGTGTGCAAATTAGTGTTTGGAAAGGGAGAGGCCACTATGTTAAGAATGCAACTATTTTTAACGCTGATCATAAAGTGTCTGAAAAATGTTTTGACATTTATATGTTTACTGATTCCATGAGGGCGGAGAATCGCTCTGATTCCACATGTACAAAAATATTTGGGCAAGAGCAAACAGTTTGCCTTTAAAAAACAACAAAAAAGAAAGGGCAGTTATCTTTGTGAAAAGACCTTTAATTGTTCAGAGTAAGAAAAGATTTGTCAAAAAACAGCTAGTGGAACTAAAATGATTTATAATATGTGTGGGGCACTGAATATGTAAATCTAAAACTGACACCCCAGTATAGCTTTATAGGATCTGAAGTGCTTACTGTAATTACAAAAAGCTAAGGCTTTTTACACTACCTGTCTCAGCTTCAAAACAATCTAAGTCAAGACACCCTTTCAGAATGCATTGGAATCATAAGTGTGTTTGGTTTCATATACACACAGATGGATTCACTGTCCAGATCGTCACATGCGACAATGAGCTACACAAGGGCTACTGTGCCCACTAAACATGACCACCTTCCTTTCTTTTCAGAGGAGGGAGACCTGGACTCAGCAATACAGATCACCTCTCCAGGTGGCAGGGGTGTAGTATGGATGGGGCCCTGCCTGCAAAATTCTTAGGGGCGCAAAATTTCAAAAGTAAACAAGAAGAAAATAGTAGTAATAAATAAAGAATAGTGTGCCCTTGCCCTCACAGAGAAAATCTCCCAGTGTCCACATGGACAGACTGAGGAACAGATCTGGGTGGTGGCCGGTTGCTAGAACGTCTTCTGCATGGGTTTTAGAAAGATATCCGCTCCTGACCAATCCCCTGTCCCACACTCCACCATGCTGAACACTCATGGGACACTGCAACTGCCACTCGAGTAGGTCGCTGAGGTATTGCCCCTTTGTTTCAGGCTATTGGGCAGTGTCAAGGGCCCTTGTTACACCACTGCTGGGTGATGAGAGTCAGAGGTATGTTAACTCTTCACACACACACAAACACACACACAACTCTCAAGCACAGATCAGTAGCCAGGCCTCTGTGCTACATGTACTTAAAATGGCCATGACCTTCTTCTAAACATGAAACCCAATCCGTATTGACTGTAGCAAGAGCACTTTTCAATACACAATGCTAACTGTACCATTGCCTCTGTTCAAAGCTTTGCCCCTTCAGCCTGATAAACAAGAGCTTCTACTCCAACTGCAAAGAGAGGAGCTCCTAGCATCTTGCCAATTGTGCTCTGCTGCCTGCAACAGGCTTTTTTTAAAAAAAAAAATCATACAGGAAGATATTGAAACCGAGAAAGCAAGCATTAAGATGTTTGATTTCAGAAGTGAACACAGCCAACATTACAATCTAAGTTTCGTTTTCTCATCAACAATACAATCTATTGAAGTGCACGCATGTCCTCTTAACATCCAATTTCTGCATGGAAAAAATTGTAAGACATTCAATTTGTTACGTGAGCCTTTATGATAGAATGGGAACTCAAAGCAAAACACCTTATCCATTCAATAAAAATTAGACTTGTTATGTCTGTGTTTCAGAAAACATTTTTCTTTCTTTCACCCACAGATTCCAGTTACTTGTGATCTTGGAAACAGACAATCCAGTGCACAATCTCTCATTTATTTTAGAGCTTGCGGATTCTCCATGGTGTCAAAACCGGAAGGTGATGTTTTGGGAGATCAAAAGAGATTGAGAGCTGGTAGACTGCCTTGGAAGTTGGCAGGTCACTGGAAGTGTCTAAGCAAAAGCTGGACAGCCATGTGTCGGGGATATTATATTGCAGATCCTGGATTGAGTAAGTGGGGTTGGAATGGATGGCCTCTAGCATCCCTCCCAGTGATCATGTCTCTATCATGAACCCCATTAGACACAGCCCATACTTCTTATTCCTTCCAAGGTATTAAGTTACATGCTGGCAATTTCCATGTTTCTATATATTCTTGATCCCACAAGTTGACACAAAATCAAAGTATTGCTTGATACTTCTGAACACCACCAGTTCTGGAACCTTTGCTAATCCAAATGAGAAATAACTCCAAACTATTGTACACGTATCTACAGAGAGGTAGCAGTTCTTTTCCCCAAACTAGCTGCTGCTAATAAAAAGACTGTTTCTAAGTATTAATTGCTAACATCTATTTTCAAAACAGAGTCTCGGTTACATCCATTGAGTGTTTATTGGAACAGATGGCAAGTGCCAGGGATTTTTTTAAAAAAAATTAGCACAAGTAAAAATATTAATGCACAAAATTGCTCATTGTCACTCCCCAGCACAAATGGGGGGAAACTTGTAAAGCTGAGTAAAATCCCCTTAGTACTTTAAAAAAGGCAGTCTCCACTCTGTCAAATAATTAGCACTTATTTAGTGCCTTTTAGAGTCAACAGCTTCATATGCAATCTCAATATCCCTTCTATTCCCTTTGCAAGGTAATTTAGTATTATCCACTTATTAAAAATGAGGGATAAAATGGTACCTCGGGTTACAAACACCTCAGGTTACAAACACTTCAGGTTACAGACTCCGCTAACCCAGAAGTAGTACCCAGAACTTTACCTCAGGATGAGAACAGAAATCACATGGCGGCGGCGGGCGGCGGCAGCGGGAGGCCCCATGAACTAAAGTGGTACCTCAGGTTAAGAATGGTTTCAGGTTAAGAACGGACCTCTGGAACGAATTAAGTTTGTAACCAGAGGTACCACTGTGCTGAGAGGTAGCGGCTAGCAAGTTCATGGCAGACATGAAATTTGAACCAAAGGTTTGTCAGTTCATAGCTCAATCTCCCAGCCACAATACTAGGTCTCCACACATAATGGTACATACACAGTCATCCTAATGAAAGGCAGGGGGAAGAAAACCGTTGCTTGTTGTGAGAGGTCTCTCTTCAGCTACACTCCCCTGGGACATGTTTAAGAACAGTTTCACTGGCTGTTTTTTTGTTGTTGCTTTTAATGAAAGCCCAAGGTGAGAAGGATACATTTGGTGAGACTTGGGGATCACTATGAAACAACATCCATCACATGGCAAACACTAGCATTCAAAAAATGCAGAAAAGGTTCGATTTTTATTATTATTATTTAAGAAAAGATTAATAGTTTCATGTACAGACTTTGGGAGGCGCACAACACCCCACACAACTTCCCCCATCCCCAGTAAATGGCTCAAAGGCTCTGGAACCTAACTGCCTACATGCCATAGCCCACAAGACCACCTCTGAAATATTCTGCAGGTTTCCTGTGCATTTTACCAAGACCGTACCAACTTTTGCCCTGTGGACCTGACCTTCCCATCCACAAAGCCCAAGTTAATTCAAAGAGACCTTTGAGAATCCAGCAAGTGTCTTCCGTCAGCCAAATTCCCTTTCCACATATGGAGGGTGGGAGAAGGGGGCAGAAATCCAACAGATTTTGAAGAGTGAACACCTGCAATTTCATGGTCAACCACTCCTTACTAAACTAACAAGAAAAAGGAAGGACAATAACGATGTGTTGGCACCTTGCATTTTAAAGAGTCCTTTATTATTATCATTGTAATTATCATCACCATCATCATTATTATTATTGTAGTGTTCCTCGTATCAACTTCATTCAATATAAAGCGGTCCAAAAGGAGAAAAGTCCCTGTAGTTTCTTTGCCGTCAGCCAAGGATCGTGAATAGGAGCATTCAAGGCCAACTCGGATGGTTTAATAAAAAGGTGGCACAAAAAATGTACAGTTTCAAACTTTTTTCAAGTTGGATCAGTCCCGAGGTTCAGCACAGGTAGTTGTTCCTCCAAGGGGTGGGGTGGGAAAACCCAAATCTGACACCAAGTCGTGCATAGTGTATCTCCAGTATGTTTAGTGGTACCGTCACTTGGTCAGAAGTCCATGGTGCAGGGAGGAAAAGGGTGGGGAAAGATGCGGTTTCTTATTTGGTCTCAGGCTTGTCTTGCAAAAGTGGTATAATAGATTCCCACGCCGTAAGGCACTGTTTGAAACAAAGACACAGAATGGCAAACCCATCAGTGCTTCTTTTTAAAACCAGCCACTTCCAGAAGCCCCTAAAGAAAGGACATTGCGGTTGAGAGAGGTGCTCTTTTGGGTACCCAGGGGCCTGCGGTGAAATATTTCACAGGGGAACAGAGGGGGCCAGAGGCACCACCTTGCAAGCGTGATGGATAGGGGCGTCCTGATGTCACACTCAGGAGCATCGCACCTCCCTTCCTAAGCTGGGCAGAAGCTTCCTGGGCTTTGGGAAGGAGGCCCCCATCAGGGAAATAGCCTAGTCCCCTCAGTCCACTGACAGCACATCACTGCCTGGGCCTCAAACCACTGAGAGCTTTGTATGCCTCTGCACCTTGAACTGGGCCTAGTAGCTCACTGGCAGGGAATGCTGCTCTTTCAAGACCAGTGAAACATGCACCATTGCGCAGCGCTGCTTACCAACCCAGCAGCTGCAATTTTATTTTAATTTTTTTCAAAACTGTTTTCACTGACACAATTTTCCTGGATGACGAAGGTACATATACCGTCTCTGTTTACAGTTCGTAGAGTCCTATCTACAGGTCAGTTACATTCAGTGTGAGATGCTGCTATCATGGGCATTTTGAGGTTGTGGGGAGAGATAGGTGGGAGAAAGAAGGGGGAGCGATGATTTCTCTCTCTGTTTTTGCACATTATGCATTATGGCTTTTGTGTCAGTGTCATATGGACAGGTTATTCATCCATGCATTTATTAGGTTTCCTTGGTGGTGAGAGGGATTGGGGAGCCCAGGGCATATTAGTAGGTTGCATTCGGTTGATGGCAGTTGCATTTTAGACAACCTTTAGGACGGTGGTACATGCTAATCAGAAAGCGTTATAAGAATTAAACGACAGATTCCAGCCAGGCAAAAAACACTCAAGGAGGATGTGGAGCAAGGCTGGTGAGGGATGTGGCCTGAGGAAAGAGGTCAGAGTGGCCTGGAGAGCTACATTTTGCCCCTCCATTTAGTCCCCCATCCCGGTACGAGAACATTCCACATAAATAGTGACAGTGTGAAAAAGCTAAAACTCGACGGTGGTAAGCAAGAAGCGCGCGCCTCTAAAGCATTCAGCTCTGCTAAACTCTCGTTATCGGGAGGTTCCACAGTCTTTTCACTACATAACAGTGACAACCTTAGAGAATTACCTTCTCGTAATATTGGATGTTTTTGTCTGCCATTCCCATCAACAGCTGCCGAAAGTCTTGGCGCTTGTTGTTCTGCCACCGGTCCATATCTGCCTTCAGGTCTGCGTTGAAGCATTCCACGCGGTCCTGACACTTTTCGACCTCAGTGGGCACCTGGGGAGAGAGCGAGAAAAAGGAATCCCCCAATGCTGTTGCAGACACAAGTTAAGGGATTTTCTTGCACCAGAAGTCCTTTTATTATTTTATTAATTTTCTCAACAAACAATCATTACACTGAAAAAGGAAAACACAAAATAAAACAATTAAAACATCTATATTCATATTCATATTAATCCATATTTTGGGATTCATCAAATCCCCTGACTTCCCTCCACTCCCTCCCCTTATTCCTTTGTGTTATTTTCTTTTGTGCATGTCAACATTATTATTATTTTACTATTATTATTTTCTCCTCCTTTAGTTTTTTATTTCTTTTCCTCTCACTTTCTCTTTCTTTATTTTTCTCTTTTCCTTGTCCTTTCTTCCTACTTGATTCTCTTTTAGACTAAGTAGCTGTTTTATCTCACTATATTATAAAAAAGATACTTTGTAATGGGTATGTAATTTTGTATTTCTTTGAAAAAGTATCAATTATTTTTTTAAAAAAAAAAGAAAAAGAAGGTACCGTATTTGCTTTCCCAGACTTAAGCCCTCGGGTGTTCAGCTTCGGGAAACAATCATTTGAGACAGGATTGATGGGGGTTTGAATGCACCCCTTGCATCAGCCACTCCCCGATGCCACCCCTGCATTGGGGGTACACCTGTACCAGGGCAGCTGGGTGAAAATGCCTAGGCTGTCCCTGTGAGCTGCAATGCAAAGGAACCTTTAGGGTTGTGGCTCATAGGGAGTCTCAATGTTGCATCTGGGAGATTGCCATGCTAAAGACCCACCTCCTAAGGCAGGAGTAGCTTGGGGGGGTTGGTACAGGGGTACACGCAGAGCAGATGTGCCTTGGTATCCTGCATCATGTGATTACAGTCATGTGACACTTAACACCCGAATAGGGTTTTAATGCTGGCAGTTATGGAGTAGCACCAGCATCTTGGACAAGTATCAAGGGCTAAAGCTTTTGTTCCCAAGAATCTACACTGGCTCCCAGTATGTTTCTGAGCACAATTCAAAATGTCAGTGCTGAACTTTAAAGCCCTGAGCGGCCTCGGCCCTGTATTCCTGAAGGAGTATCTCCACCCCCATCGTTCTGCCCAGACTCTGAGGTCCAGCGGCGAGGGCCTTCTGGCGGTTCCCTCACTGCAAGAAGCAAAGCTACAGGGAACCAGGCAGAGGGCCTTCTCAGTAGTGGCGCCCTCCCTGTGGAACACCCTTTATGTCAAGGAAATAAAGAACTACACCACCTTTAGAAGACATATGAACACAGCCCTGTATCAGGAAGCTTTTGATGTTTGAGGTTTTATTATGTGTCTCTGTGTTGGAAACTGCCCGGAATGGCTGGGGCAACCCAACCAGATGGGCTAGGTGTAAATAAATTATATTATTATTATTATTATTATTACTACTATTCCAAGGCCATATTTCCTTTCAGCTTTCAGCTAGGGAGACAACAAGAGATCTTTGTATAGACAGTGATGTTGTGGCTACACAATGCAATGAACTTGGACCAGATTCACCTGGCTTCAGATTTCCCCCAACACAGCTACAGAATTCACTGCCTAGCCTTGGACCAGCCTTCCAGTCTACTCTAACTTACTTCACAGGACTGTTCCAAGGTTAAAACACAGTTCCTAATACACACTGTCCTGAATACATTTGAAGAGCAGTGGAGCACAGATGAGATAAATCCAGAGCTTAAATTGTTAATTGTTCTATTAGCTTAAACAAAAGACGAAGTGGAGAGGCTCTAACTGGCAAAGCAAACCTATTAGTTGTCACTGCTTTCAAATAAAATTGCATTAATTAAAGGAGGCTGTGCCTAAGATGAAAAGAAAAAGATTAACTTCAAAGTGAATTAGTATAATTACTAATTTTTAAAGCTTTTAAATATTGGTGGCACGGTGGATAAGGCCTCTGCTGCTTATTCATCAGTTAAGGAATCAATGTGCATTCAAGCACCAACACTAAGGTAACAGCTTCTATTCTCCAGAAATATAGTGACAAACGTAGTTACCCCACTAATGGATAGCTCAATTCAATCTATGTGAAAAGAACCTTAACATAGCTTCTTTCATAAAACCTTAAATTGAGACCAGAAATGGAAAACCTATGGTCTTCCAGATGTTGTTGATCTCCATCACCTGTCCGCCTCAGCCAGCATGGCCAATGGTCAAGGGTGGTGAGTGCTCCAGTCCAAAATTCAGAAGGCCAAAGGTTCCTCATACCTGCCCAAAAGCCAGCCAACACATGCTGTGAGATAAATCAAAGCTGGCTGACGGGAAAGTATAATTTACACAAGCAATGGATATCAATAATTATTTTTCAAATCTGCGCATATATTTTATTACCCCTTGTCACAATTAAAATCATCAGACCACCAATTTGCCAACCTGGGATATTCAATTGTTTGTGGTATTGAGCAGTTTTGTTTCCTGGCGTCCCAAGGATCTCTCCTACCCAAACAAATGATCTTTTCCTCACCAAAGATCAAGTCCAAGAATCCAGTTTGCAGCCCAATAGATTGCTTTTTAGTCACCTGTATTTACTGCCCTTTTCAACGTTGCACAAAAGCTTTTTAATCTTGCTGAAGACAATGGAGTGGGAGACTTAGCCCAAAGAGGACTAACCTTGGGGCGGTCTTCTCTTTTTAAGACCACAGCTTCCAGTTTGGCTTCATATTCTGCTTGAACTTGATCTCTTTTCTTCAACACATTCTAAAGAGGGGAAGGAAAGAGACAGGATGCAATCAAGAGGAGATGCAAGGGTTATGTCCACACACACACACACACACACACACACACACACACACACACACTTCATATGAACTTCAGCTTGTCACACCAAGCCAGCTGTAATCCACTTGAAACCAGCACCACTTAAGTGTCAGGAGTGGAAGTCTATTGGCTTGGAAAGGGTGATGGCAGTTGCATTGTCTTCTTGCATTAGACCAGCTATGGGAAACCTATGGCCCTCCAGCTGTTGCTGAATCACAACTCCCATTGGCCAAGCTGGTTGGGGGCTGGTGGGAGTTGTATTTCAGCAACATCTGGGGTCCGCAGACCACCAGTTGGGAATCACTGTTCTAGAAGGTCAGAAATGAAGGTCCAGGTTCATTTCCTGGCAGCTGGGGGGCAGGTTCAGTAGCCAGCAATGGGGAGCACATTCTCCTAGTGTTTCGACCCTACCTGCTTGCACAGTGTCTTCCCAGAGTGGTACATGCCCTGGTTATCTCCCACTTCGACTATTGCAATGTGCTCTACATGGGGCTACCTTTGAAGATGACCCGGAAACTACAACTAATCCAGAATGAGGCAGCTAGACTGGTGACTGGGAGTGGCCACCAAGACCATATGACACCAGTCCTTAAAGACCTACATTGGCTCCCAGCACATTTCTGAGCACAATTCAAAGTGTTGGTGCTGACCTTTAAAGCCCTAAACAGCCTCAGCCCAGTATACCTGGAGGAACGTCTCCACCCCCATCATTCAGCCCGGACACTGAGGTCCAACTCCGAGGGCCTTCTGGCAGTTCCTTCACTGAGAGAAGAGAAGTTAAAGGGAAACAGGCAGAGGACCCTCTCGGTAGTGGCGTCCGCCCTAGGGAATGCCCTCCCATCAGATGTCAAGGAAATAAACAACCACAGTGGACCCTCGGGTTACGTTACCTTTGGGTAACATAACTTTCGGGTTGCAAATGCAGCAACCCTGGAAGTGTATACTTCCGGGTTTCGCCGTGCATGCATGCGCAGAAGCGGCGTTTCATGTTGTGGACTTTTCAGGGTATGTAAGGACTCCCAGAACAAATTAAGTCTGTATCCAGAGAGTCCACTGTATCTGACTTTTAGAAGACATCTGAAGGCAGCCCCGTTTACGGAAGTTTTTAATGTTTGATGTTTTATTGTATTTTTAATATTTTGTTGGAAGCTGCCCAGAGTAGCAGGGTATAAATAAATTATTATTATTATTATTATTATTAGGGATCTTCCAGATTGCAGAGGTAGACTGGAAGGATCACGACTATTTGAGTCAGTGAAACAATCCTTATTTCAGTGCATGATCATCATCATCACCCTTCAGAAGGGTTAGGGAATCTTGGATAGTGTTTGCAACACAGTGGCTTGGTTGTGAAAAAGTTCAAAGTCAGCTATGAAGCTCACACATTTTAAGCTCCTTTCAAGAACAGCAGGACAGAGATCAGAAATCATTCCATCACGGCAAAACAAATTTGGCAGGACTACAGAATGCAGCTCAGAAACTTACAAGCTACAATCATTTTCAGCCTCGAGCAAATCCTTGCTCTCGTAGCAGTGTAAATTTGTTGTAAAAATTAACTACTGCCCCCCCCACACACTCAAGCACTACAAACTGTATTAGTACCTCCAAAACATTTGATTACAGCAAGGCACTCTATTTAAATCTGCCTATCCCCCAAACTAAATACTTAGCTTTGAGATATCAAGCACATCTCCTGAAAGCAATTCTGAATGGCTGGTGCTCTCAAAACTTTAAAGATCTGGTGAGGGTAAGATCTAGCAAGCAACATATGAATCAGATCGCATATACAGGCAGCCCTGTCTAGCAGCTATCACTGAAACGGTTCCAAGAGGCTTTGCGGTTACAAGGTTTGGTTTTATTGGCTTGTGGGCAGGAGAGGCTTCAGCAAATGTGCAGAACAACTTGTTATTTGCCCATCAAAACCCATTTCACCCAGTTATGCTTTTCAGCAATAAATGTCATTGGAAACCATTTATATAAAGGCAACGGAAGGAAACCGTTTTAAAGAAACACCTTTTCATTCATGTGAGCCAGCAAATTGCAGCGCAAGAAATAAAGGGCAGCTATTTCACAGCCCTTTTTTGACACTCCATCTGACAATGACATCCCTAACCCAAACAGAACTTTTCAGTACTCCAGTGATGCCAAAGTCTTTGTTCAAATCGTGGGACCGTTCTGATCAGGTACATTAACTGCAGGAGATGTTTCTAGCTGCTCTGTGTGCAAATCTGACACTGAAAAGGAAGGCAGGTAGGTAATCTAGTGCTGAAGTTTCTTTAAACCTGGCCATAATAGCACCTACCAATTTTGTGATCCATTCAACAGCTGAAAGATATGCACTTATCTGCTGATGTGATCCAATAACTTAGGATGTGTGACACTTGCATCATGCATGCTTTCTGCAGTTTAAAAGGCACAGCTTTCTTTTCTCTGGGAGAATCACAGTGATGTGCAACTTTTCCCTATAGTTATTAGAGAGGTAGATAAGCCCTTCCAATTGAACAGGTATTTCTGCTTTGCTGCAGGTATGTAAAAATGCTAATAAACTAGTTGCCTTCGGCTAAAAGAAATCTGCCTGCAGAATATGTGGAGATTCGAACTTACGGTTTAATCATTAATATATTGCATTCGAAAGGCACATGGCTAGCAAACAGACAGGTCTGGGACAATGCATATTATTTGCGGACAGAAAGAAAAGGTAAAGAATGATTACGTCAGTTTCTGGAGAAAGAGGATTGGTGTTGCCTTCTCTAGAGTCCTACACAGGTGATGTGCTGCCCTCGTGTGATTACGCATAGGGGAGATGGGTCTCACTGGCTCTGCCCCCCATATTTTATGTCCTCATCACCCAGTCAGTCCCACTGCCATCCACACAGTGGAAAGGTCTGAAGCAGGGATCCTGTTCTATGAATGTATGTTCCTTAGTTTAGAACTTTGACCACACAGGAAGTCTACACTTCAGAATTCTCCTCCAAGGAGGGAAGGCTGGCGAGAGGAGGAGCAAGCAAACACATCCCTGCACTTCCCCTCAGACTATGGTAACGGCATGAGGGCAGAACGCCTGTATAGGGCTTAATTTATTGTCTCCCACCCCATCCCGTACCACTGAATGCTAGCTCAATATTCCACCCCATTAATGGAAAAGGAGCATGTTCGAGTCCATCTCAAGTTATATGCAGACCTCTATTTTTAATCACACACAAAAAATTCACAGGTTCTCTTCAAAAGTTAACCTCCAAGCTAAGATTAAAGGGGACTGGCTGATATATGCTCAAATTTACTGGTGATTAATATGCTGCATTTCCCAGAGTTCTTTGGGGGAAGCCACAACTGTTTAAAAGTGCTTTGATACTGCTTTAAATGCATAGTGCAGATGAGGCCTTCCCCTGGATGCAACCTGCGCTTAAGCCAACCTTCCTTTCTTTTTATATTTTTAAAACACGTTTGCAGTACTTCCTAGTTTCTTCTCTCTTTTTTTAAGTTGCATAAAATATCAGGGGGGCAAAAAGTTCTCCGTTTAAAAACGGAGTTTGTGTTTTGACCTGGGCCAAGGACTTTAGCCATTTCTTACAGTAAAGAATACAGAAAATTAAAAAGCTCTGCAAAAAAGAAAAAGAAAGCATGGTTGCATATTATTCATTATATGTTGTTCTACAAGCAGAGCATTGAAGCCGATGCATTAATACAATGGTAAGGGATTTCTTAAAGCTGCACAAAGTTGTAGTTTCTCAAGGGACAGGGGACGGCAGTTGACTGCTGCACCCACATGAGTATTCTTCTGCATACTTTCAGCTTCTCAGGCACACACACACACACACACCAAAAAAAGCCCAACCGTTAACTCCATTTACCTAATATCAAAACATTCCACAGGGAACTGTTTGTACTAACTGTGCCCAGAATGCTTTATATCATCTCAACAGTTCCTACTCCTGCTTTTCCTTTCTTGTAATAGCAAGTCGGCATGAAAATGATACATAGCAGGCCCCGAGGCCCTTCCCACAGCTTATATATCATAATCGGTGCATCAGAGAGACACGTTTGGGCAACCCCTTTCATACAGGGGCCACATGCGACTTCTCAAAGCAGTGAAGGCTGCATCATGATGGTAAGAAGAGAAGAATTATTTATCAGTTACAAGGCATGGGGATATGCAGGCTTGCAGAAGAAGGTAATGTCCCATCTTCATGGCTAATCAGTCCCCATAACACCTGGAAGCGGCCTGTTACACCCAGTGTTCGAAACTCCCGTTGTTCTAGGCGTGTTTTGCGACAGGGAATTTCATTAGTGCAAGCAGTTTTCAAGCTCTGGGCACAGTAATGCGCCTAAGATTTCAGATTAAAGCTCCAGAGTGGAAGGAAAGGAGGACCTACTTCCAGCTACTCTCTTAAGAATACAGTGGTACCTCGGGTTACATACGCTTCAGGTTACAGACGCCGCTAACCCAGAAATAGTACTTCAGGTTAAGAACTTTGCTTCAGGATGAGAACAGAAATCGTGCTCCGGCGGCGCGGCGGCAGCAGGAGGCCCCATTAGCTAAAGTGGTGCTTCAGGTTAAGAACAGTTTCAGGTTAAGTACGGACCTCCGGAACGAATTAAGTACTTAACCCGAGGTACCACTATATTAGGGGAGTGGGGGCAGGGGAAGGACTAGACCATGTGAAAAATGAACATCATATTTTAGCTGCAGTTCATTCATTTTCAGCTATGTATTCTTGTTGTTAAAAAACAACAACACCCGGACATTCCGTTGTTGCACCCATAACCTAGGTTTAAGGTGCCATTTAGCTTCTAGCTTTCCAATCTCAGTTTCTAACACTGGTTACACCTATTTAAAATCCTGCAGACAGCTAGCACTGTCATGGATACACATACACACAGGTATACCCTGGAGGTAAGGATTTTCAAGTATTTAATATGCTAGCAAACTCACCTGTCATCTATGGGGACTACACATTGCCCCCCTGCTAACCATGCTTAGCCAGAATTGAGAGGCAGCACCTGCAACCTGCCTTCCATCCCACACCTAGAAAAAAGATTATTACATCTTCTACCCTCAATCACAGCTAAGGGTTCACTGGCACCAACATTACTACTACGTAATGTGGTCGCACCCAGATTCATCATGGTTAGGGCTGGCAAAGTGTGGCAGTAAGTCAGGATCTGGAGAACTGCAGGATGAAATCAATTTCAGAGGCTATGTTGCAAGGAACCCTAAGTTAAGAACACTGGTGGAATCCAACATCCCACTATGGCAATCAGCTTGCCAGATAGGACAATCCTGCCTCCCCTTCCCCGACACGCTGTTCTGGATGGAGTTTCTATAAGTTGTCAGATATACCTTCAATTTAACCCAGTAGCAAAGCGACAACCAGAGGAGTTCTTTCAGTATCCGTGTTACATGGTCCTAACTGGCTGGACCATTCAATAGCCAGAAAGATGAAGTCAAATGTCTGCCATATTAAAAGAGAGACGGTGAGATTTGTTCCAGGGAAGGAAGCACATCGTTTCTGGGAATAGTTCTGACTTTGCTAACCAAGATTAGCAGGAAGCCAGTGTTACATCTGCGTGAGTTCCATGATTTTGAAAGCTTGGGGTACTTTATCTATATATATAATTTCTGGAACCATTTTGTGTCAAAATGAAAGCAGCAGGTAGAAGAGGTCACACAGAGATCTCCTGAAGGGGATGCAGTAGTTTTATGCCCACAAAATGTCCACACGCTGGCATTTCTGGGAAAGCTGTTTTCCTAGATGCAAACATCTGCCTGCCACAAATCCCATGTTACCTTCATGGACTCCGAGTACAGCATATACTCTCTTAGGACAGGAAGAAAGTCTTCAGTCATGTCTTCGCTCAGTTCCTCGAGTGCCGTACAGCAATTCCCAATGCAGGCAGATACTCCTTCAAGAGGCTCCGACAGCTCTTTCTCTAACCCACTCCAGGTTGAGTAAACAGGACCATACTCTCGGAGCTCCACAAGGTATTCTGCAAGAGAACGATGCTATGAAAATAAAAGGCAGGAAAGTTCTGGTTTCTGGGTTTTGAGATGGCGCAAGAGGGTTTGTGTGTTTGTTTTTAAAGTCAACAAGCCTAACTTTCAGATCAGAAACTTCTCGTGATAAGGAAAATACCAATAATAAAAGTGTCAGAACCTACAAAGGAAGGTCTAGGACCTTTGGGTAATTGCTGTAAGCATCTTGCTACAACTTAAGATGCAGGAGGACAAAGAACGACAAAGGAATTTAGCCATTCTGAATGCACACGCAATACATTTTTAATTCCCCTTTTTCAATTATATTTTATTGTTTCAACATTTTAAACATATACAATCCAAACACAATTTCATCTCTTCTCAGATTTATCAACTTCCCCATTTTCCATGAAGTTGGTGTTTCTCACCTTCTACTGCACTATCTATTAAATCATAACCACAATAGTGTTTGTGGCAGAATGGACATCTTTTTCGGACTACAGTGGTACCTCGGGTTAAGTACTTAATTTGTTCCGAAGGTCTGTTCTTAACCTGAAACTGTACTTAACCTGAAGCACTATTTCTGGGTTAGCAGAGTCTGTAACCTGAAGCGTATGTAACCTGAAGTGTATGTAACCCGAGGTACCACTGTACTAAATGAAATATTATAGTATGATGAACTCGCAACAGGATTTGAGCTATGAGCAACAGAAGTAATTATATTTTTGATTCCATATGCAACACATATTCTGAAAATGTGTATACTGGGGATGGGAACCTATGGCTTCCCAGACATAGCCAGGCTATAATCCCCATCATGCTTGACCACCAGCCACTTTGGCTCACCTGATGGGAATTGGGAGTCCAAGCATTTTCTAGGGGACCGCATGTTCCCCCACCGCTGGCATCCAGACTTTGCTAGTGGAGCAAGAATTAGAGTTATAAAGAAAAGCTGCACATACTACTCACCTACTTCCTCCTTGATAATTCGCTGTGCTATCCTGTCAATGGTTCCAAGCTTCAGAGAAAAAGTATCTAGGTAGTCACCAATGGCAGCAAACTCCACCGGTCGACTTCTGAGTTTATAGCTTCCTGTGACATATTTTACCGATTCTCCCATCTTAGAAAGCAAGGCCATTCCCTGCTTTTTATAAGCATGAAGATCCTATGGACGACAAGAGCAGCCAATTAGCTTTTAGATTATGTTTATGTCTTCCAAATACAGTCGTACCTTGGAAGCCGAACGCCTTGGGAGTCAAACGTTTTGGCTCCCGAACGCTGCAAACCTGGAAGTGAGTGTTCCAGTTTGCAAACGTTTTTTGTAATGCGAACATCCGATGCAGCTTCCTGCAGCCAATTCGAAGCCGCACCTCGGTTTCTGAACGTTCTGGAAGTCGAAAAGACTTCCGGAACTGATTCCGTTCGACTTCTGAGGTACCACTGTATATTTGTTCAACAACAAACTTGGGGAAGCTAGAGTTTCAGTCTATTCTATTCTGAGGACTCCAGAGAGTTACAGGCCCTTACAACCTGTGTTAATGCTCCAAAACTCCCATTAAGAGGAGTTGCTTTCGTTTATTCCAAAATAAATACATTTGCAGAAGTTACACTCTTAGGGCTGTGCCGAACATAGGCCTCATCCGCATTAGTGGTGATTTATAACAACAACCAGAATGCAAGCAGCAGCAGTCACACCACTGCAGTAATATTACGCAAAGTAGATATTTATAACAGGTGAGGGAAGGAGGAAGAGAAACTTTGTGACTCCCTACCACAACATGTGGGGGCGGCTGCCACGTTAGAAGACTTTCTAGTGGGCTTCTCAAATAAATCTGTTTAATCATTGAGGGAAACCGAATTTTAGAGTAGACAAGCCTTTGGTCTGTTCACAGTAGGATATCTTATTTCTGTTTGCTTCTCCCATCCACCCACAGCTCAGTCTTCTCTTTTTCTTGAAAGCAAACCTCTCAGTTTCCCCTGTATCCAATCTCTGTCCTAGCTGTTTGTTTGTTTGTTTGTATTTATATACTGCCCTATACCCGGAGGTCTCAGGGCGGTTCACAGAATAAAAACAAAATATAAAACCACAAAATACATAATCAAAATAAAAACAACTGAATAAACCTCCACCCAAAAAACCCCCACATTTTAAAAGGGCATAGGATGTCAATCAAATCAACCAAAGGCCTGGTTGAAAAGGAACGTTTTTGCCTTGTGCCTAAAGGTGTATAATAGGGACGTAAAAGGTGTAAAATAGGGACGCGGGTGGCGCTGTGGTGTAAGCCTTGGGCTTGCTGGTCAGAAGGTCGGCGGTTCGAATCCCTGCAACGGAGTGAGCTCCTGTTGCTCGGTTCCAGCTCCTGCCAACCTAGCAGTTCAAAAGCACGTCAAAGTGCAAGTAGATAAATAGGTACCACCCTGGTGGGAAGGTAAACAGCATTTCTGTGCACTGCTCTGGTTTCACCAGAAGTGGCTTAGTCATGTTGGCCACATGACTCGGAAAAACTGTCTGCGGACAAACGTCGGCTCCCTCGACCAGTAAAGCGAGATGAGCGGCACAACCCCAGAGTCATTCACAACTGGACTTAACTGTCAGGGGTCCTTTACCTTTAAAGCTGTATAATGAAGTGGCTAGATTCTATTGTGCTCTTTCAAATGCTAAGCTTAAGGTATACTGAAAAATATATACCGTATTTTTCCATCTATAAGATGCCCCATGTATAAGATGCCCCCTATTTTTGGGGACTCAGATTTAAGAAAATGGGGAATGTATCCATGTACAAGATGCTCCCTAATTTTTGACATTATTTTTTAGGGGAGAAACCTAGTCTTATACACAGACAAATACGGCAACTGTCAAATACTGACACCCAAAGTAGCTGTATAACATGAGTGGTTATCAGATGAATTTTATGGTGCTATTTAAAAGCATGTTTAACATTGATAAGCAGTCTTTCATCAGATTCTAAACAAAGGCTTCCACCTCTAAACACATCCATTGAAACACAGTTCTGCACAGGTTTGCTTTACTTACTTTGGCAGTAAGAAACACATGAAAGTGTTCGTTAAAAGAAAGGACAGGATGATCAGCAATCCTTTTCAAAAATTTATCCAAGGCCTTCCTCCTCGTCTCAACAAATTCTTCTGAAAAGCGATCAACAACTCCTTTGACCACAAATTTCTCTGGGAGAGGCTGGAAGGGAACAGGAAAAAATCTTAGGAGCTTAGAAGGACAAGAAAATCTCTATCCTCAAGCTTTGATGTTTTAGAAAACATGCACATTCAAGTTTTTCTTCCACTACAATAGTAAACAGAAGTTTTTAAAAAACCGAAGCAAATATTTTGTAACAGTATTTTCATAGTTCATCAGTGTACGGAGAGAATTGTAGAGCACAGCACAGATGTTACGAGACATCACTGGGCCAGAAGAAACTGCTGACTTGCACCTTTTCACCTAAAAATAAGTTTAAGCAATAATTGTTTCTGAAGGGAAGACAAAGTTGTGTTCACCCATTCAGAGGAAACTTTTTTGAAAGACGGATTTTTGAAGCTTTGCTGACTCCAGATGCATTCTGAGTAATGTCATGTTGTTAGAGAGATCTAATGAAATAATATGCAAAATAAACCCACTTAAGTCAATGGGCTTAAGTATTTTAGGTCCATTGAATTCAATGGGTCTACTGTGGGTACAATGAATGTTTGATATCAACCAGTGAACCCAAATTAGGTAAACATGGAGCACGAACACACACAACCCGAAAGTGTTGGGCCAGGTAGCTTCTAGTGGCTTGTTACCTGTGCAAGTCCCTCCCAAACATATTTTTGAGAGCATAACACCAGCAGACAATTCAGGAAGAACTGAGAAACATATTTTTGTGATGGGGCAGGTCTTTGAATCTTAGCCCACAAGAAGTGAGTGAGGGTTCTACATCATAAAATGTATTGTGGATCTAACATGCTGTTTCAGTAATTTTTTATCTGTTATTGTGCACTTTTTTCTGTTTTTATTAAATACTACACAATACTTCTGAAAAATAAAGAGGTTCTTAAAAATTAAAAGATTTTTGTTGTTGTTTAGTCATTTAGTCGTGTCTGACTCTTCGTGAACCCATGGACCAGAGCACGCCAGGCACTCCTGTCTTCCACTGCCTCCCGCAGTTTGGTTAAACTCATGCTGGTAGCTTCAAGAACACTGTCCAACCATCTCGTCCTCTGTCGTCCCCTTCTCCTTGTGCCCTCCATCTTTCCCAACATCAGGGTCTTTTCCAGGGAGTCTTCTCTTCTCATGAGGTGGCCAAAGTATTGGAGCCTCAGCTTCACGATCTGTTCTTCCAGTGAGCACTCAGGGCTGATTTCCTTATGAATGGATAGGTTGGATCTTCTTGCAGTCCATGGGACTCTCAAGAGTCTCCTCCAGCACCATAATTCAAAAGCATCAATTCTTCAACGATCAGCCTTCTTTATGGTCCAGCTCTCACTTCCATACATCACTACTGGGAAAACCATAGCTTTAACTATAAGGACCTTTGTTGGCAAGGTGATGTCTCTGCTTTTAATTAAAAGATACCACCACATAAATGCCACAATGGATGTATAACCTACACACATTATGATATTAGTGTAAAAAAAAAAAGCAATAGCTATTAGTGATTTAAAAAAAATAAATCCTGTTTTTGTTCTCATTGAAGAAGTCAAGTTTAGCCACAGAGTACAGTTTCTAAGGATCAGAAAACAGTGCAAGTAAGCAACTGTAATACAGACCTATAACGTCAGAATATATGAAGTATAAATTAGTTCAGACAGGAATGTTTTGGAGTGTTCTGTTTTGCATTTCGCCCACAAAATAATTGAGGCAAGCATTTTCTTTATCTCTCTTTCATTTTAAACACACCTCAAATCCATTACTGCTGAAAAAGCAGAAATGTGCACTTCTTATAAGTGCATTATTTATTCCAACAAACAGTGGTCCCGACTTACTACCTACGGGAATGAGATGAGTGGGTTGAGATTCCTCTAGTTTATTCCTGAGCCAGTCAAAATCCTGGTATCTTCGGCGCATGGAATACTCTGGCAAGTCAAACTCTGCACGTGTGGTCTAAGAATAAAAATGAAGCGAAAGGGGAAAAGCGAGCAAGAGAAATCAGACAGGGTAAGTAAAAATATATATGCTTAAATCACTAGTCTTTGCATTCACTGTATTATTATTAAATTTCTTTTACCAAACGTTGACTTCTATACTGGCTTGAAGCCAAATGTACCAGCCATACCTCAAGCCGAGCCATTCAAGCATTAGCAAAGAAACAAATTTTATTTTCATATGCCTCTGGCAACTTAAGATGCACAACCTGGGAATCAACTCAGTATTGAACTTGGACAAGTGCCCCTATTTTGAAAGCTCTTTTTATTAAAGCTTGGGGGGAAGCAATATACAAAAGTTAACATCAAATATCAAGCATTTTTTAAAAACATAAAAACTAAGGGACAGAAAATAAAGAGGAGGGAAGGGGAAGGGAAGGACTTATTGGACAAGTGTGTAATGGATATGTCAACTTTTCGTTATTTGAATGGAACATTCCTTGAGGAGTGGGAAATGTAAAAGATAACCTTAACATAGTAACTGAGCCTATGAATTTTTTGTATCTTCAATGGATGCATTCCTTTTCTTTGTTCTGGAAAATTAAGACTTAGGGTTGTATCCCAATGAAGCTGTATTGTTTTAGCACAAGAACTTTCCCAGTGCAATGGGAATTCCTCTCCGTGCATCCCCTCTATGTCCGACACTAAATTTGTGCTTTGCTGGGAAAAACAAGAGCCAGCACATTGGAAAAAAACAAAGCAACAACAACAACCCCACACCACCGTCTCTTCATGTTAATCTTGTTTCTATACCAATGGTTCTAATCCAACATCAGTCACACTTGGACTTAATCCATTAAAATTAAAAGACATGACTAACTTAGGTCCTTTAATTTCAGCGGGACTCTTCTGAGTAAAACTTAGTTGGATACAACTGAAATCGAAGTATTTCACCCATAGTGGAGATTGCAGTTTTTCAGGATAGATGGCAGCAAACCTGCTTCCCCCATTGTTCTACCATCAAACTGGGAGGAATTGTTCAAAATGAATGGAAGAATTTATATGGGAAGATTTCTGAGGTGAATGCCAAGATTCTCTACTCTCTCTTGCTTATGAACACAACACTATCAAAAAAACAAGGATACATTGCTTGTGAGTTTAGAGGCATTATCCAATACAAGGCACTGGTACTCATTTCACACAGAAGTATACAAGCAATAGAAATATTCATGAAGAGGGAGAATCGCATTCCACAAACTACAAATGAATGCAAGACCTTCGAACACCAGCAATGGCAGCACGACCTGGAAAATTATTACATTCTTGTGGCAAGAAGGGGGGGAGAGGGAAATAAGTTGTGTGCTCTCAACCATAGACACCCATAGCGCGTGCCTATGAGAGAAAACTCTCTAAGCTAGAGAAAACTGTGGAACTTAGAAGTCAAAGAACTATCTTCCGCAAGAAACACAGCTCTGCAAATGTTATTAACCACACAATACAAAGCAAGCTCTCAGCGCTATGAGAAAGCCAAGTGGGTTTAATAAAGCAGATGACTAAAGCTCTCCCCAGGGATTCCTTGAAACTAGGAAGAAATCTGGAGATCTAACAGAATTTTTTAACACTTGTCACTTTAGACACTGGATTTTCCAGAGAAGCCATGACAGCTAAAGGCATACAATACAGATATTAAGCCATAAAGTGGGCATGACAGCTTCCTTTGATGCAATGTGCTAACCCCTCCTAACTTGAATGGGTGAGAGGAGAGGCCTGTCACAAAGTATTTGGAAGTAGATGTGGGCTACACACAACATCACTGTGCGCGTGTGCACACACAAACACACACGGTCCCAGTCTCAAATAAGGCATATGAACAAGAAAGGAGATTCCAATTAAACATCAGAAAGAACTTTCTGACAGTAAGAGCTGTTTGACAGTGGAACGGTCTCCCTCAGGAGGTTGTGGACTCTGCTTCCTTGGAGGTTTTTAAGCAGAGGTTGGGTGGCCATCTGCCATGGATGCTTTAGCTGAGATTTCTGCATTGCAGGTAAAAGGTAAAGGTAAAGGTACCCCTACCCGTACGGGCCAGTCGTGTCCGACTCTAGGGTTGTGCGCTCATCTCACTTAAGAGGCCGGGGGCCAGCGTTGTCCGGAGACACTTCCGGGTCACGTGGCCAGCGTGACGAAGCTGCTCTGGCGAGCCAGCACCAGCGCAGCACACGGAAACGCCGTTTACCTTCCGGCTAGAAAGCGGTACCTATTTCTCTACTTGCACTTAGGGGTGCTTTCGAACTGCTAGGTGGGCAGGAGCTGGGACTGAAAGACAGGAGCTCACCCCGCCGCGGGGATTCGAACCGCCGACCATACGATCGGCAAGTCCTAGGCGCTGAGGTTTTACCCACAGCGCCACCCTGCGTCTGCATTGCAGGGGGTTGGCCAAATGACCACCCCCCCCCAGTATCCCTTCCAACAATTCTATGATTCTATGAACCACAAATAAGGTGTGAGCTCCAACAGGATATGAATCAATATGGCTAACCTGATTAAAAAAACACCCACCCACCCCACTCACACATGAAAACAAAGTTCAACACAGCCAGTCACAAACAAGCAACCGCGCCCTAGATCAACCCCAATTTCTCTCACCACCAAAGGAACACAAGCAAATAGCAAAGAGAACCTGCACAAATGACGCTGACACAAAAACCCACATATACATTAAGCAAAATAGAAATATTGCCTCCCAACCCCAACCCCACCCACCATGGCCCCCTCCACCTCTTCTCCCCTTTTTTCTTCCTAGGTTAAGGTAAAGGGACCCCTGACCATTAGGTCCAGTCGTGGCCGACTCTGGGGTTGCGGCGCTCATCTCGCTTTATTGGCCGAGGGAGCCGGCGTACAGCTTCTGGGTCACGTGGCCAGCATGACTAAGCCGCTTCTGGGGAACCAGAGCAGCGCACGGAAATGCCGTTTACCTTCCCGCCTGAGCGGTACCTATTTATCTCCTTGCACTTTGACGTGCTTTCAAACTACTAGGTTGGCAGGAGCAGGGACCGAGCAGCAGGAGCTCACCCCGTTGTGGGGATTCAAACCGCCAACCTTCTGATCAGCAAGTCCTAGGCTCTGTGGTTTAACCCACAGCGCCACCCGCGTCCCTTCTTTTTCTTCCTAATGTAACCCTAATGTAACTTGAAAAGAGAGACATTGTGCATACCTTTGTAAACCAAGAAAACTTTAATAAAAGAAAAGAAAAAGAAAAGAAAAGAAAAAGAAAAGAAATGAAAAAGTGTGAGCTTACTATGTAAAGCCAGTTGTGCAAAATAACCTTGAATGGGGTGGGTTTCATAAGGCGATCAATACAAAGGGAAAAGAGAAATATCCTGCAGGAAAGACTTGATTTAGCAGTACATCTCAACCATGCTGCTTAGCAGTTCATGTCAGACAACAAACTTATTCTTGGTAATGCTACAGAACAGTATAATGCTGCCTATTTGCAGTTTGCATTCCATGAGATAGAAATTGCTTCAGCAATAGCAAGGTTACAAGCAGAAAAGCTACTTAACTCATAAGCTTAATGGCACTTCAAACATTAAAGATGGGCCACTGAAAAAATGTTCTCTAGGAAAACGCCTCCATTCAAGGCTCTTTACATCTGTTCGTCATATAAATATGCATTAGGGCTGGGCGATAGCTGGTTTTCAGCATCGTGATATATCATCAGCTAAACACTGTGATATACTGATATATCGCGTCTGAAATAAGGATTGAGCTATATAGCGTTGGCTGATTTTTCCCACATTGTGATTTTTGCATAGCTTACACACATACATCAGGATTTGCAATATATTGCCACGTCAAAAATCATGAAACTGATACCACGATATGGACTCCAAACTGGTTTTGGACAATATATTGATATATTGCTCAGCCCTACTAGTGCCTGAATACTCTGCTACAGAAGAAGAGTGTCTCTACTCAGTGAGGTCTCATCCATGCACAAAAGATTCCAGCTACTAATCTAGAAGACGAGGGACATGGGTGGCGTTGTGGGTTAAACCACAGAGCCTAAGGCTTGCCGCTCAGAAGGTCGGCGGTTCGAATCCCTGCAATGAGGTGAGCTCCCATTGCTCGGTCCCTGCTCCTGCCAACCTAGCAGTTCAAAAGCACGTCAAAGTGCAAGTAGATAAATAGGTACTGCTCCAGCGGGAAGGTAAACAGTGTTTCCGTGCGCTGCTCTGGTTCGCCAGAAGCGGCTTAGTCATGCTGGCCACATGACCCGGAAGCTGTACGCCGGCTCCCTCGGCCAATAAAGCGAGATGAGCGCCGCAACCTCAGAGTCGGCCACGACTGGACCTATTGGTCAGGGGTCCCTTTACCCTTTACCTTTACTAGTCTAGAAAACTAGTCTAGACCTGAAACAAAACAGGGAACAGAGCTGAAAGCCACAATGCACAGGGAGAAAGCTACATTGCATTACCTTGGTTGTGACCCTGTACGTGATATAAGTCTCCATCGTACAGACATGTTTCTTAGGATCATCGACAGTGACAAAGAGGTCTCTCATCTCCCCATCCAAGTCATCATCCAGCTGCAGTCTGTTCAGAAGTGAGGAAGAAGAGGCTGGGCTTGAAGTGTCTACAGGAGTACCATTGGGCAGACTGAGGTCCTGGAAAAAAAGCAAAATGGCAGGTGTGAAGGAGGAGGAGGGGGGAAACCAGCGGCAGACAGAATCAATTTCTGATTTTTAAAAAGCATCACCCACAAAGGCAAACTGGGTAAGTGGTTCAAAAAACCAATTCATTTTGCTGAACCCTTCCATGCTTGGCTAGCCATACTTAGCATGCATATGCTTCATTGTTCAGCGCTGTAGAGAATGAGGCTCCTAATCCCAGGGTTGTGGGTTCGAGCCTCACATGGGGCAAATAATTCCTGCATTGCAGGGGGTTGGACTAGATGACCCTCAAGGTCCCCTTCCAACTCCACAATTCTATGATTCTATGAAATACAACTCTGTTGTGATCCTTACAATGACTCCCCACAACAGATGGAAGCAAGTGAGTTCATATTGGAGGAGAGTCAAACTATGTACTGCCTGCTTTGAACCACTACACTATGCAATACAGTGGTACCTCTAGATGCGAACGGGATCCTTTCCGGAGCCCCGTTCGCATCCAGAAGCGAATGCAACCCACGTCTGCGCGAGCGTGGGTCGCGATTTGCCGCTTCCGCGCATGTGCGTGACGTCATTTTGACCGTCTGCACATGCGCGAGCGGCGAAACCCAGAAGTAACGTGCTCCATTATTCCGGGTCACCACAGCACGCAACCCGAAAATACTTATCCCGAAGCTACTTCAACCCGAGGTATGACTGTACAGAAGTTCACAAAAACAAAGCCCAGGTTTTTTAGGTACTCAGTTCTTGCAGCTCCTTTTTTATGGCCTTCCACCATAGCTGGGAAAAGTATCTGGATTTTCAGAATGCGGTATATTTTACCAAGCCCTGCTGTAGTGTTTGTTGCCACCCATTCTTAAATTCCACAAGCCTAGCATTAAGCCTTTCAAGCTCTGTTTGCTGAATTGAAGCCAGCATTTTTGAGAAAGCACTTCAGTATTCCCTGGACACATCCGAAAATGCATTTGATAGCCATGAATGCAAGCAGCACCCTCTCTGAAGTACTCTGAGTGTGTGTGTCAGATCTTTCATACTGAAGAGCAAAGGCAGCCAATATCGTGCCTGCTAGATGTTGCTGAACTCTGACTCCCATCAGTCTCAATCACCATGGCAAATGGGGTGGGGCGTGATGGGAGTTGTAGTCCAGCAACGTCTGGAGCAGTGCCAGATTTACATATAAGCTAAGCAAGCTATAGCTTAGGGCCCCACTCCCTTGGGGCCCCCAAAAAAAATTAAAGGAAAAAAACAAGTGGATGTACATTTCCAAAATGTAAGATAAAAAACAAATAAAATAAAACCTACATAGAGCAACAGTGTTTTGTGTTGTGTAGGCTCCTATGATGTAAGTAATGGGCCCTGCCTGCCAGCCTGCTCCCTAAAATATCACTGGTTTGCTCATTTCTATATATAGGGTGCCGACATTCTGCATGGACTGGTTGCATGGCAACATGGGCAAATGGCTTTAGATACCTATTAGGTCCATAAATTTCCACATAGCATATATTCAACACACACACACACAAAGGGGCAATTTGTTGACAAAGGACAGCTGGACATATAAAGGGCTTCAGTAGCTTAGGGTCTCATCAAACCTAAATCCGGCCCTGATCTGGAGGGTACCAAGTTAACTCCTCCTCCTGCAGGTTCATTGCAAGATGTTAAATCGTGGTGTCTCTCCTCTGTGCTACCTACTTGTGTACAAGTTAAGTGGTGAACCTCGATATCTTTGGCATCTTTATCAGTATCACCCACAACAGTTTCTGCAACTCACTCTTCTGCGACAGGAACTCCCAGGTTCCACCCCACAGCAAAACCTTTATGTTCTAGAAGTTCGGAAGCACAAGTTCTTTGAGACACAACAGCTCCAGAGCAAAACACACTTACAAGAGAGTAAGCCCCTTTGAGCACAGGCCTTCTGAGTAAACAAGCTTAGGGATGCACTGAAGACCTAGTACTCAGTAGTCAATTTTTTATTAAGCTTTAAAATCTTAACATATATACCGTATTTTTCGCTCTATAGGACGCACCAGACGATAGGACGCACCTAGTTCAGGGGGGAGGAAGCAAGAAGAAAAAAATTCTGAATCCCAGAAGCCAGAACAGCAAGAGGGATCTGGATTCTGGGATAGCCTCTTGCTGTTCTGGCTTCTGGGATAGCCGCTGGGATAGCTGGTCTAGCTTTGCGCGAAGCCTCCGCAGGGCATGGGGAGCCTTCATCCCCATGCCCTGCGAAGGCTTCTTGGACAGCCCGCAAAGCCTCCGGAGGGCAGCGGTATGAAGGCACCCCGCTGCCCTGCTGAGGCTTTGTGCAGCTAACCCTGAAGCCTTTGGAGCGCAGCGTGAGTTCCCGCTGCGCTCCAAAGGCTTCAGGGATAGCCACCCAAAGCCTTTGGAGCGCAGTGCGAGATCCCGCTGCGCTCCAAAGGCTTCAGGTGGCTATCCCTGAAGCCTGGAGAGCGAGAGGGGTCGGTGCACAATTTTTGGAGGGGGAAAAGTGCGTCCTATAGAGTGAAAAATATATTCCAGATTCCAAATTTGGTATACATGTCTCTTTAAACTTTTGGCTTCCTGCCTTTCCCTCTGAGATGTTCTTAATCCCATCCCATTTACACGCTGCATTCTAATAAACATTTCTCCAAGGACACATTCTTCTGTTTCGTATAGAACCTTCTACCGCTGCTCCTATTTCAAATCCTGCTCGCGATTTGCAGTATGTTTACAGCAAAAAAACAAGAGTCTGAAGCCAGTTGTTATTTAAATTAAGCTACCCAAGGTCCAAATGAGGACGAGAGAAAAAGCCTCACCAAGTTATGTATTCTTGGAACACACAGACACAAAAAGATGGTCTTTGCTAAACAATAAACCACAAGATAAACTTTGAGGACAGCAGATGCTTATCACTCATGTATTTATAGGCTGCGTCCTTGTCTTCATGCTATCCCTATTAAGGAGTGTGCAGTTTTTCTCCGCCACAAACTACCCTCATGCTTGGTTTTCCACAAAAATAATGCCCTGAACTGCAGGAAACACTTGATCAGAAGCCGCCATGTCATTCAAACTTTTCCAGTTGTGAACTTAAAGTCCTGAAAATTTTGAATTCTAATTTTAAAACCTGCTGAATCAAAATGCACAACTGACATTTAAAATGGCTATATTTCATCAAGTGAAGGTTAGTTATAGAATTATGCATCTTGCATTGAATTGCACTGTTAGTAGTTTATTTCAGTACCAGTAACTGGGGGGGGGGCTGCACCTTCCCCCCAAAGTAGGAGAAAGCCATACTTGGTCTGTTTTGGAGTCGCAGTGCTCTCTATATTAATTTAGCACATTCTGTAAGAGGGTAGCATTACCACACCATTTTGGACAAACATGCGTGATTCAGATTTGACCCAACAGTTCTTAGCAGTTACAGATAGGTAGCCGTGTTGGTCTGCCATAGTCAAAACAAAAAAAATTCCTTCCAGTAGCACCTTAAAGACCAACTAAGTTAGTTCTTGGTATGAGCTTTCGTGTGCATGCACACTTCTTCAGATACACTGAAACAGAAGTTGCCAGATCCTTCTATATAGTGAGAAGGTGGGGAGGGGTATTACTCAGAAGGGTGGTGGGAATGGGTGATTGGCAGATAGCTGTGATGAGCCTGTTGACGACTCTTAAGGACTGCAATAGGTCTTACAGGAAAAAGCAAGGGGTGAGAAGGTGAAAAATGGCTTTGTCATGTATAATGAGAAAAGAATCCAATGTCTTTGTTCAGACCAGGTCTCTCCGTGGTTTTAAGTTTGGTAATAAGTTGCAATTCAGCAGGAAAGAGAACCTGGAAAGAGAAGCTGCTGAATTGCAACTTATTACCAAACCCGGAAGTAACTCGTTCTGGTACTTCTGGGTTCAGCACGGTGCACAACCTGAAGCCTCTGTAACCCGAGGTCTGACTGTAATAAATGGCACAACTACTTAGAACTGCATGGGGAGTACAAAAGGATTATTCTTCATGTCTCAAAACACATACCTACAATTTTTTCCTGGCTCTTGCAAAAGATAGAATTATCTGAAAAAACACAAGTTGTTTACAGAAAACGAGACAAGATAGAGATGCATGAAAGTATTTGTTATCAGAACATGGTGTGTTGTGGCAACAGGAATGGGAAGGAGTTCAACTGGTCTTTTCTGACTTTTATTTCCCTGTATTTCTCTTCTATAAATGCCAGCTCATCTGAGAATTTATGAATGATGCAGATGTGCTGCTGTGTTGTATACATGTGCTATTAATTCTTAAGAGTAAACAAGCTTCATTTTTAGTACAGCTAGGCAAATAAGGCCAAAAGGGTTTCTAGTCCATAAGGTATTCATTGTTGGGTTGCTTTAAAAAAACCTCAAACTATTCCACCTTCCCACACAATCAAATCATGTATGGCCTGCCAGCAGCCTGAAAAGAAAAGAAAAACTGCAAGCATTCTTCATTTATAAAAGCTTTCCATACTGGGATAGGAGAGCTGAGGAAAAAGTTCACATCTGGAAACCAATGTACCCCTTTGGATTCAGATAGTACATGGGTAAAAAGGTAAAGGTAAAGGACCCCTGACAGTTAAGTCCAGTCATGAATGACTCTGGGGTTGTGGCACTCATCTCACTTTACAGGCCAAGAGAGCCGGCTTTTGTCCGCAGACAGTTTTTCTGGCTCATGTGGCCAGCATGACTAAGCCGCTTCTGGCGAAACCAGAGCAGTGCACAGAAACGCCGTTTACCTTCCCACCGGAGCAGTACCTATTTATCTACTTGCATTTTGGGGGTACTTTCAAACTGCTAGGTTGGCAGGAGCTGGGACAGAGCAACAGGAGCTCACCCCGTCGCAGGGATTCAAACCGCCAACTTCCTGATAGGCAAGCCTGAGACGCTCAGTGGTTTAGACCACAGCGCCACCCGCTTCCCTTAGTACATGAGTAGACGAGTCTAAAAAGCCTGGGACACAAATTTTCACGGCCCTCTAACAGCTTCAT